TCTTCCATGGTGGCACAACACTGGAGGCGTGGAGTAGAAATGCGGTGGACTTGTTCTTCAAGAAAGGCAACAACGTTTTCTTCAAGAACTACAAACCTGTTAAGTTTAGCCATGCATAAATCACAGTTAATCAACCATAAGTTTTACAAAACCTTCCCTTCTGTGCTACCTCTACGTGCTATTTTCAAGAGTCATAACGAATCGTCTCGCACACAGACTCGACGACTTCCAGCCTCTCGAACAAGCCGGTTTCCGAAAAATCTTTCCGAAAAGTCCAAATACATACCATTCGGCAAATTTTACATAAGACAGAAGAGTACAATCTGCCACTTTGCCTTGCGCTTGTGGACTATGAGAAACCCTTTGATTCCGTCGAAATTTGGGCGGTGCTGCAGTCCCTTCAGCGGTGTCAAGTAAACTTTCAGTATATCGAAGTGCTGAAGTGATTGTACAGTAGGGCTATGTGAGTACAGAACCCGAGCACGAAACCTATCCAACTGCAGAGAGGCGTAAGACAGGGTGACGTTATATCCTCGAAAGTCTTCATCGCTACATTGGAAGATGTTTTCAAGCTACTGGACCGGAAAAGATACGGTATTAACACTCGATTTGCCGATGATATAGTTCTTATGGCAAAATCGCTGGAAGACCTAAGCACTATGCTCAATGACCTCAATAGTGCCCCCCAACGGATAGTTCTTAAGATGAACATGGACAAAACAAAAATCATATGTAACATGATCTTGTCCATGTTACACCTATGCTGGTAGTTAATGGGAGCGCTAAGCTCGAAGTTGTTGGCGAATATGTTTACCTGGGACAAATAGTCCGAGTAGGTAAATTTAACTTCAACCGAGAACATCAATCAACTTATTCAACTTGGCTGGGCAGTGTTCAGGAGATTATGATACATCTTCTCATTAGGTATACCTGAAAACTAGAAAACGAGATTTTACAACCAGAGTGTTGCCAGTGATGACTTATGGATCTGAGACGTGGTCCTTCACAGCAGGCCGTATGAGGAAGCTCAAGGTCGCTCACCAAACTATGGAAAGGGCTACGCTCGGGGTTTATTAGCGTGATAAACTTAGAAATAAGGATATCCGCAGTAGAACCAGTGTGACCGACATAGCCCAACCGATTAGTAAGTAGAAGTGGCAATGGGCCGGCCATATAGCTCGAAGAACCGACAACTGTTGGGGGGAAAAAGGCGAAATGTAGGGCATCCCCATTAGATGGAGTGATGACCTGGTAAGACATGCAGAAAATCGATGAATGCAGGTGGCTCAGGACTGTGCTTTGTGGCATTTCTTAGGGGAGGTCTATGTTCAGCAGTTAACTTGTGAAAGGTAGTAATGATGATGATGATGAAAACCATCTAGCAGAAATGATAGGAGGCCTGTGCCCAATAGTGTGACGTATATAGGCTGTAACTTTAAAAATAACTATTATTAATTCAGAATTTACCTTTTAGCACTTGTATTGCTCACACAGTATCATGGCTAGATTTTATCACATAAGATTATGGATAGTTTTGAACGAGGTGCCTCTATGCTGGCACTATAACATGACCGGCGTATTTAATAGCTTCCGACAGAATGCCGAATGTGTTACCGTGGTCGAATTCAGACATTCATTATCATCAGTGCATTTAAAATATTGTGCTGTTACTATGATAGTGACATAAACAAATATTGGCGCAATTACTGTTATCGCGTTCCCTTTCTAATTTGGATATTGGTTTTATTGATAACGTCCATTATCTGGTACATGATTAGTGTCGTACCGATAAGTGGTATCAGTGTCCGTCCAGTAGACAGAGCTGACTTGTTGACGCTCTTCCGAAACTAAAGGAAAATTTACATTTAGTTGTTTTTATTTGTGACACCAACGACCGAAAAGTGTTGTAGTTACTTCAAGATGTTGTTGAGTGAGTACTCATTTTGTTATTAACGCTGTTTTATTTGGTAATTTCGTTTGATTGCTTCTAACCCTTTATCTACGGAATAGATCGGGATAAGATACGAGTATGATAAGCATTTTGGCGCGCACACATCTCTAGTTTATTTTTATTAACTTCAGCGCGGTTTTTGTCGGTTTGTACTGATCTTTTGAACTTTTATAATGCGCCAGTAGGTGATTTAACTTAATGTGATTTACTAAGAAGGTTGAGCCTTACTCACCACACAAAGCTGTGGAATTAAAGGATCAACTATTGAGTATACTTCAATCTAGTTTTATCGTTTAATTTAGATCTAATATAAAAAAATTACTAGGCATGTTCGTGTTATGCAAATGTTCGTGTAATGCAAAAATGCGGGGCGGGGTTATTCATTGTAATAAAATTTATAATATCATTTAGGTATATTAAACATTATTTAAAAGGGTACGGAATATTTCATATAATATTAATTATATATCAAACACTTATTTAACTAACATTTTATTATTAATTTGCAAAAACTACATCTAATAATTAATAGTCCTTTAATTGAATAACAAAAAACTGCTGTCGCCAACCCACCTATGAAGCATTCTATGGGGGAGGCCTATTTTTTTATAGGATCGGGTGACAAACGAGCACACAGTCCACCTGATGATAAGTGGTTGCTGTGGCCCATAGACATCTACATTTATCCTCGTTTGCGAATCAAAATACAGATGCGTTGTCACCCGTGAGGACTAAGATGGAATGCCTCTTTTTCAGTAAAAAGGGTCTCCGGTTCTCTACACTCACCATACAAAACACAGCAGTATCAAGCTGTTATTTTACGCTGGCTATCTGCGAGAGCGTGGTTCTTCCCCGGTCGAGCCGAACCATTCGTGCTACAACTATACTACTAATATAGCTGCAGCATGGCTCTACTACGTATATAACTTGAAAGTGGCCTTCTTGATACTATGAACATATCAAGTAAGTTCGCAGTTTGACCGCTATAACGACTTAAAATGGGCCCTAATAGGGCGATGGTAACTAAAGGACTTATTTACCAAGCACATTTATTGGAAGTGGTATTCATAAAGGACTTAAAAACTTTTCCATTTTGAAAATATTACAATCTACATCAAATCATTCACATGCCAAGTCCGTACAAAAATGGTCATAGGTCCCTATCCATCTATTAGTTCCTGGCAGTACAACCCAAAGATATAGATGGTCGTACTGAACCTTCCCCTAAACTACGACTGGACTAAGCTATCTTGAGGGTCACCCGCGTAAACAAAGAGTACCTGGAATGAAACTGTAGGCCTACAATAACTACTAACAAAAAATAGGCGAAAATAATGTATCAGGATAACTTTAATAAAAAATACCACTTTAAAGCTAAATATTTCACAAACGGACCCCTGAATCGAAATAAATGTCATTCAATACCCCCACTATTTTTGAAAGACCTGTCCAACGACACCCCACACGATGGAATAGTTGGTTAAAAGAAGTTAACCTTATGAGAGGTACACAAATTAAAAATGGTTTTTCAAGATTTAATTTCACATCTGTGTAGGCGTGATTAATATCTGTAACTATGCCAAATTACAGTTTTGTAGCACTTAGGGTCTCTGACGGATGGACGGGCGGACATGACGAAACTATAAGGCTTTTTGTTGTTTAACTACGGAACCCTAAAAATAATAATTTATCTAAATAATATTTTTTATTTGTCCGTAATTTATGTGCTGCCATACCGTTCATCAGATTGCGGTAAAACTTTGTCAACTTATTGCTTGCACTTGCGCGAAGGTTATATAGGCATAGTAAAATTAATCTACAATAGGTGGCGCGTATCGTACCAAAAATTAATTTAAAAGTTATTTATCATTCAACTTCAATGAATTTATTATCATTCATAATTAAACAATACAATGCCCAAATACTCAATATGCTATTCAGTTTTAAGATGCCGTTGAGTCTCGTGCTGTCTCTATCACTTCAAGTCAAAGTGATTGCGACAGCACGAGACTTAACGACATCTTGAAATTGGGTAGCGTTTGAGTTATTGTTATATTATTTAATTTTCCACAATTTTTTCTGCGGCAGCAACGCGCCGGGTACCAGTTAGTATATAATAATGAGGGTTATCCACGACTTTTTTGCCACCAGGGCGGCGCCACTAGAACGTGAGGTATAAATATTTGACAGATTTCATAGCAGGGAATTAATTTGTTCGGAAAATGTAACGGTTATTGTCTCTGTCTGCACTATTAGCCATATTTTATATTAATAAGATTAAAAATAGATAAACCAAACTACAGATATTCATAAAAGTAGAAAAATTAAAAAAAAAAGGTAAATATGTGCAAAAAAATTAAAGAGTGGTCTGACGCATTGTTTTATGTATTAATATAATACTCTAGAAACTGATAAACTTTCATTAAAAAATCAACTTCTCAAGTAAATTACATTGTGTAACAAAAAACTTTACCTCAGTGTCAACTAACGACATCTGGTGAGCAGAAAATTATTACCCCTCATTAAGTAAGCAAGTGTTGTTATTTTTAGCTGATAGTTTGTAAGAACGTGGTAATTCCCCGGTGGTTTCAAACTATTTGTAGTGCATTCATTGAACAGCTGTAGCTTGGTTGTACCATGTTGAATTATATAGGAAAAAAAATTAGGATTTTGTCTGGAATAATAAAATTACTACCCTCTATAAAGCACAGGCGATTATTTGCATCTTAATAAGACAAAAATAATAATTTAAAGAAAAATATCTCAACAAATTGGGATCAACTTTACGAACAGTTAGACAGCATTGCCAGGAAGAATCTAGGTTATAGTTTTCCGAAAAACTTGATCTTTTTTAGATTAAAAATCTGTAAAATATTTTCGTTCGGCCTTTGATTCTCTTAAATCTAAATAAGACTACATTAATGGATACTATCCAGGCGAAGCTACGGCAGGTAGCATAAATTTATAAATAATAAAATTAAAGTAGACAACAGTAAATGTACGATAATCTTCATTGTGATTCCTTTTAATTTCAGGATTCCCGTTCTCCATGGAAAATATTCCACGACAGACAAGTTTTGGTTGTTTCTCACTTAAACTTGGATCTATTTTTACTGCCTTATTAATCATTGTGAGTATTGAATAACAAATTGTTTGGACAAGCTTTAGTAACGTGAAAAGTACAAATTGTTTGAAGAGCACTTTCATAGTTTCATTACTTTATGATTTTTAATACTCGTATCAAAATATTACCTAAGTCGCATATTGGTCTGGGATATACAGGCTTATTTTTCAAAGAGTAGCCAAATTTTATACTTAAGGTTAAATATATAAATAATGAACGTTAACGTTATTTCAGTTTTTGAATACTTTTTTTTTTCTATCCCAAAGTCAATGTGATTTAGAGGCAAAAATAAAGCAAAAACGTTTTTTCCGACCGAGCCACCCTTACGAATGTGTGCATGCTTTCTTACTTTTTCTTTTATAAATGGCTTTACGGCTCTGGGTTCTAGCCCTTCTGAGCCTGAAGTTACAATGTTTATTTATCCTTTATAGTACACTGCTTCACAATATGTTGATGCGTCACGTTGTGCAACCCTTGAAAGATTTTGACGGGAACTTGAGCCAGCAGACAGCAGACAATTGGCGATGGTATCTCAAGGCGCCTGAGCAGACAGACGCCTTATTTTGAGAATCACATCACCATCAGAACACTTATTTCACCGTTTCCACTAATAGTACACATGCGCAGCACTTAATGCACAAAATCGCATCACTTTCACATATCAAGATCCACTTCAAACTATTATTTAAACAATAACACAGGAGCAACAAACCTCCGCCGGTCAAGTTCCCGCCAAAACTCCTGTGTGCATACGTAGCAAGTAGTAGGCCTTAGATCTTTATAAATGACAATTAGTTAAAATAATGCATTACTATGGATTCTAAATTTAAAAGATAAAAATACAGAATGTTTGAGATTTTTTTAAGTAATTTTTCTTCACCATTCGACTATATTTCTTATTAGGGAACATATATATTGCATATATTGCAAAATGACCCTGTCTAGGTCCCTGTGTTACTTGTGTAGTATATCGTAAAAGGCGAATAATGAGTTTTCACCTTTTCCTTCGTCTAGTCCTCTTTAACAGTAATTTCTACTAAACTATTATTTGGTGATAGGTGGTCCAAGTAGCTCACTGCTGTTTTGATTGTGTCTACTCCTCGTCAATTGCAGGCGTGACTGTAGGTCTGCAGTCTTAAAATTAAAGTTACAGTTGATTTACGTCCTAAAGCTGACGAAGATCTCTAATTTATAAGAATTTTGTGGAACAGAAAGGAGCACAACATATTGTTCTAGTGCGACTTAGTCAAATGTGTCAATGAAATATTTTTCACCGTCGAGTAAATATATAAATTAAAATATATATAAATCTATACAAATTACAATTAATGATTTCATTGATGCCGGTAACGATCGAACTCTATTATGAAATTGACAAGCGCTTAGTTTTTTAGCTACTAATGCTTTTAAGAGAGCTTGTAAAACCAATTTAAATCTCCTTTTGTTCTTTTAGCACTGAACATCTCAGTAGCATTTTTTATCGAATAAGGTGACAAACCAGTACACAGTTCGCCTGATGGTAAGTGGATGCTATGGCCTATAGAAATCTACATTTATCCTCGATTTGGAATCGAAATGCAGATGCGTTGTCACCCCTGAGGACTAAGATAGAATGCCCTTTTTTCCTACTTGTATATTTCTCTCTCTTACTACTGGATCGAAAAAAAAACTCTGTCTTAGGAAGAACTAGCAAGAAATATAATAGCTGTTGCCGTTATTATGTTTCAGGTGTACTCAGTACTGGCTCTAGCACAATGCTTAGCAGTCCTGAATGTTCTTCCATCACGACTATCACCAGAGGATACCGACGCCATGGTATCATATGGTGTTGTGATTACTGTCACAGCAGTCCACGCCATCACGTTGTTCATAACTGCTGTGATGTTAGTCGGCGTGTTGAGGGTAAGAAGATTTGTGCTAGCTTTAGTCATGAAATCCTAACGGGTACCCGGGTATCGGCTTGGATGCTTACGGGTGGACAATATTGGAATGTACTGGGAAATTTAAGAACTTTCCTTCAAATATCATACTCACCTGCATGCAGTTCGCTGACGATAGACTGATGGCGGAACACTCAACCGAAATCGTTAAGCCGTAGAATGAAAAGGAAAGATCTCACGAAAGCCAAGGTGTTCAGCCCAATCAACAATTTTATTTATAGGATAGGGTGACAAATGAGCACACAGTCCAACTGATGGTAAGTGATTGCTGTGGCCCATAGACATCTACATTTATCCTCGTTTGCGAATCAAAATGCAGATGCGTCGTCACCAGTGAGGACTAAGATGGAATGCCTCGTTTCCAGTAAAAAGAGTCTCCGGTTCTCTACACTCACCATACGAAACACAGCAATGTTAAGCTGCTATTTTACGCTGGTATTCTGTGGGAGCGTGGTCCTTCCCCGGTCGAGCCTGTCCCGGTTCCGGTCGTAAAATAGCTGCAGCATGGCTCTACCACGTATAACACAAGCTTTATACCATGTAAAGCTTGTGTGGTAATGCGGAGCCTGTGATATATATGCAGAGTCATTCAAAAACTTCGATAGTGCGATTTAACCACACAGTCTATCGTCTCCATAGTAAATCTACTCATACTAATGCTCAAGCTGCTCATAGACACTTATCTGATGCGATGTCACCTCTAAATTGTGACTCCGTGCCGGTAAAAAAAGAATAAAGTTCCCATCACTCATCATAGGAAACACAACGAACACGCATTAGGGTACCATTTTACGCTAGTATTCTGCGAGAACGTGAACCTTACCCGATCGAGCCGACTCATTTGTACTGTCAAAATACATTACCAGCTTAGTATTGCGGCGTAAAGACATTAGAATAATGTAAAATATCGAAAACGATCGTGAAATATGAATGTTAAATATGATATGTTTTCATTTTAGGAAAAACCTCATTTGATTAAACCCTGGGTAGTGTGGACATCGATTCAAGTGACAGCTTCCCTGCTCATATTCGTGTTTTGGAGCACAACGAACATCATCAGCCATTCTGGGGAGAGCTCCTTGATTCTCTATGTGGTAGAATTTTTGTGTCTTAGTAAGTAGACCACTAGTAAAAAAACAAGTATAGTTTACTTTATAAGTATTTTTTATTTATCCTTGAGTATATGCCCGCCTCAAGATTGTGGCAAGTGCATGCTTAACTTGATAGATTTTGAACGACTATAACGTAATGGTTTGGGTGTGGACTGTAATCTCAAAAGGTCGTGGGTACGAATCCGTAATTAGACTACTGTCGTGAACCACTCACCACGCAAGCATATTAAGCTAACTTGAAATGGTTAATCCATGTAGCGGCGGTGTAAGAATATCAACCATCCCAGTATTATCTATTTTTTTTTTAATAGAATAAGGGTGACAAACGAGCACACAGTCCGCATGATTGTAAGTGGTTGTTGTGGCCCATAGGCATCTACATCTATCCTCTTCCGGGGTCACCTGTACTAATGGGTGTACCTCAGGGCTCGATTCTCGGCCCATTCCTGTTTCTGGTGTATATTAATGACTTACCTCACCTTGTAGGGGATAGTCATGATATAGTATTATTTGCTGATGATACTTCCTTGATTTTTAAACTTAAACGTCAATCATTTAAATGTGACGAAGTGAATAATGCTATATCAAAATTAGTGCATTGGTTTAACGTTAATAATCTGCATTTGAACGGAAAAAAAAAACTAATTGTGTTAAATTTACAACAACGAATGTTCAAAATCTGAATACCAATGTGTTTTTAAATGGGGAGGAACTGAGCCCTGTTGTATCCACGGTTTTTATTGGCATCACTCTCGACGCAAAGCTTCAGTGGGGCCCCCATATATCCAAATTAGCATGCAGACTAAGTTCTGCAGCCTATGCTGTAAAAAAGATTAGAGGTCTCACTAGTGTCGAGACAGCTAGATTAGTTTATTTTAGTTATTTTCATAGCATAATGTCTTATGGGATATTGCTATGGGGAAATGCGGCTGATTCAGAAACTATTTTTGTTTTACAGAAGAGGGCCATTAGAGCTATTTACAATCTAAAACCGAGAGAGTCTCTTAGAGATAAATTCAAAGAAATTAATATATTAACTTTGGCCTCTCAGTATATTTACGAAAATTTAATGTATGTTCACAAAAACAAAGATAGTTTTAGTAAAAGAAGTGATATACATTCTGTAAACACTAGGAACAAACAGAAGCTAGTGATACCAGTTTCTCGACTCCACAGAGTCAGTAATTCATTCTTGGGGCAATGTATACGCTATTACAACAAGGTCCCGGAAAGTGTACAGGTTCTCTCGATTACCAAGTTTAAATGTTTTATTAAGCTGAAACTGTATAAAAAGGGTTATTTTAGTATAAATGAATACATGGTTGATAATAGCCCCTGGGAATGAGGTGATCGCTTCCAAGCAGTTTCTAAAATAAATTTTGTAAATAGTTCGTAATCATTTATATTGTAAAATTTATTTAAAAAAAAAGTCCCGCTGGGTTTCTTGCTGGTTCTTCCCAGGACAGAGGGTTTTTTTCGAACCAGTGGTAAAGTAAAAAATGACTTTCAATAAGAATTACACATGTAATGTATATTGAATAAAAAATATTCTATTCTATTCTATTCATCGTTTGCGACAACTATACTATTAGTATAGCTGCAGCATGGCTTTTAATAGCAGTATCATCTACCCTTATGTTTTTCTTCGTCCTATGATAGAATGCACTCATATAACGGAGGTTATATCTAATCTATCTATATAAATATTTAACTGCCTCGTTGGTCTAGTGGTTGTAGTAGTGTGACTGCTGATCATGAGGTCCCGGGTTCGAATCCCAGGTCGGGCCGAAACATCAGTTATTGAGTTTTTCCATCAAGAAATTCTCATTAGCTACCCGGAGTCAGGAAGTTGGCGGTGTTTCTCACCCGTGCCTCGGAAAGCACGTAAAACCGTTGGTCCTGCGCCTGATCTCTCTCCGGTCGTTAGGTTTACCGTCCCATCGGACTATGAGAGTGAGGGAATAGAGAGTGCACCTGCGCTTGCACATACACTTGGTCACTATAATCCTGTCCTGCGCCGATGGCTAGTTTCCGTTGAAGCTAGCCGCCGTGACCGAAATTCGGTCTGGAGGACATTATTATTATTATTATCATTATACACGTCTATGGATTTTTTAAAGCCGCTACCAAACTTATAAACTTAAGATAATACGCATTTTTACAACGTAGTTCTTTTTTATTCACTAAAGGACTTGTGTAGTTATACTTGTGCCAGTGTTAGATATTATGAAATTATCTTGTATAATGATTTGTTTAAAACTTCACAATCAATATGTTGTGAAGAAGTTGAAGTTTAATGCGCCACATTGCGAAGTTACTGGGAGATTTTGGCGGCAGTTTGAGCCAGTAGACAGTAGATGACGATAGTATTTACACAAGTGGTAAGATTAAAAATTTGTACAACCGACTTCATCAATATATAAATAAAATGAGGTGTTCTCATTCTATCAATGTAGTCGAAGTAAATTAAATACGCATTATCGAAGATAACTCAAAAACTACTTCTCAAATCTTGATCAAATTTATATGGAACTACATGACAAGCAACAGCTATCAAACAAAAAAGAAATATCAAAATCGGTTAACCCAGAAAAAGTTCTGAGGAAACACACATAAAAATACTGTCGAATTGAGAACCTCCTCCTTTTTTGAATTCGGTTAGTTAAATACACCAAATCACTCCACTTTTACGTATGAAAATCTACTTTAAACTATTATTTAAATAATAATACAGGAGCAATAATTCGCCGGAGGACAAGTTCCCGCCAAAACCACTAGCTCTGTTTTATTTAAAAAAAAAATTATATCTCTTTTCAGCAATCCGTTTCTACATGCTTATGTTGGTGGCCAGTTTTTACAAGCAGCTAGAAGAAGGAAGAGACGAGACGGAAAGACTTAGAAAGTTAATTAGCCCCGAAACTTGGTACAGTTCTGCATAATATATTAGATAATTATTAAGATGTCCTATTTCAGTTGCATAAAGGCGGTGAACAATTTTGAAATTTATTATTTTTTATATTAATAAATAGCAAAACATAAAACGTTTTAAATTTTTAATTTTATATGATTATATTAATTCGGTTTTTTTATTTTATTAGACGGCAATTAGACTGCGCCTTGTGCAGTAGCGTAGCAATGAAGTGCAGCGATAAGGCACCGCGGCATTTAGCGGCGGATTATAATTCCGCACAGAACAATATTTTGCGTGGCCTACAAATATTTGTTCGGGGTCTAGATATTTGTAGATGTCCAATTTAAGTAAGTAAAACGACCTAATGATGCAGAAGAAAATCCTAGAGATATTATTTAAAAAAAAAAAAAACACAGAGGCTCCGAAAATAACTCATTTCATCTCGACTTTGGGCTAGTGGAGTTGACTACTGACAGGATACGCTAGTTGAAGACTTTCGTCTAAAAACTATGTAACAATAACTAAAATTATGTAAAATAAATTTCGTTTACAAGTTTATTTAATTATATTTCTTTTATTGAAAAAAAAAATACATATTATAATATAAAAAATCATGTGTGCAGTTCACACGCGTTAGAAGTGAAACCTTCAGAAAACTAAACTTCGAGAGAGTGAGAAGAATATAGGAAACATTGTATACAGTATTCCATCTCATTCTCTCGCTGGCTAAATCTTGTAGAATTACATGTTTGTCTCTTCTTAGTGACGCTTTTTCTTTTCATTGCGTTTTAAATCACAACGCTTCTAAAGAAGTATTCATTTCAATAAGTTTATGTTCAAGGCACACAGTTTACTTCGAAAATCTAAGCTCTTTGATCGCTTAGTGTAATCATCAAAGTACATTATTTTTTATTATCATGTAATTCTAAATGTTACAGTAACACAAACATTTTTTTTAAATAGAAATAAAGACAGATTTTTATTTGGTATAACAAACTTAAAATATTTATAAACTTTAAAATTACAGATAAGTAACACAATATTTACAGTCCCTTAATGTTATTTTTTTAAAGTAAAATGTATTTAACAATAATATTTTATATAACCAATAATATTTAACGGGTAATTTTGACGGGTAACTCTTTAAAATTGCAATGAATTTAAATATACAACTGATACAATAAATCATAGGTGCTACAAAAATTATTTAATATATTTTATTCAAGATAAAAAATATCAAACGTTGTATATAGTAGTGTCGTAAATAATTTTTTATAGAATAAGGGTGACAAATGAGCACAGAGCCCACCTGATAGTAAGTGGATGCTGTGGTCCATAGACATCGTTGTCGCTACTGAGTACTAAGATGGATTGCCTCGTTTCCAATGAAAAGCTTCTCGGGTTTTTATACTCATAATACAAAATATAGCAGCACTAAGCTGCAATTTTACGCTGGTATTCTATGAGAGCGTGGTCTTTCTTCGGTCAAGCCGACCCATTCGTGTTACAACCATTATAAGATACAGGGTTATTTTTCAAAGAGTAGCCAAATTTTAAACTTAAGTTCAAATATATAAATAACGATATTGGCCGGCCATATAGCTCGAAGAACCGACAATTTATGGGAGGAAAGCCTATGTTCAGCAGTGGAATTATGAAGGGCTGTAATGATGATTATGATGATGATGATGATACCATTATTGTAGTTTTTGAAAATACGAGTAAATAAGGCTTTTTATTTGAAATTATCCTATATAATATATATTGAATGTGATTTATGGGTAACAACGTTTTTGCCTACCGATCAACCCTTACCAATGTGTGCATGCGCAGTAAAATTAGTTAAAATAATGCATTACCACGCATTTTGAATTTAAAAGATAAAAATAACTGTTTGAGATTTTTTTAACTTTCTAACTTTGGCCGGTTATTGCAAAATAGTCCTGTATGTATAGCTGCAGCATTTTCTAGCTCTACCTCGTTTTTAGTGCGTTGTTAGCTTTACCAATTTTAAATTTTCATGATGTAAATCGTACAATCTCGATTCTAGGCTATTCTGATTGATTCAATAATATTTGCATCCCTAAAAATATGTATTAAAAAATTCTACAAATTACTGTAACAGTTGTCTAGCACATGCTTTTGTTTTAGAATTTTATATTAATATCTGGTACAATTTTAACAAATGACGCCTAAATTTAAATATTTTTAATTAATCATCGTTGTAAGCATCACATTTGTACATCATAAACTTTGTAACTTATTACAGTACTTATTTAAAACAGTTTTAGACAACAATTGAGTTGCTTAGACAGGATCCCTTTCTCGTGTGTACTTGACCGTGCCGTCTCTTTCCATTTTCACAATTGAGCTCCAAATGAGTATCACCAGGTAAATTTGCAACACTGAAATTGAAAGAAAATCATTAAATTTTAGTAAATATAATTAGATTTGATTACAACCTAAGGAGGAAGCCTATGTTCAGCAGTGGACTTTAATGGGGTGTAACGGTAAATATAATTATTTACATTTATAAAATCCGAAGGAACGTACCAAATTCTAGATCCACTTATAGTTCAATTAAATTATTAATTTGCATTTTTTCTTAAAAAGGTACAAGTTTGCAGTTAAAAAAATTAGAACAAAACATAAATAGCATTTTGATACGGTATTGAATAAGTCTGGTGATAACACAGTGTAATTTGATTTTTACAATTTAAAACTGACAATCAAGCTAACAGTTGACCTGATGGTAAATGTATACTGCAGCCCATGGACACCTACTTCAAATAAACCAGGCCATCAATGCGTTGTCGTCCCTGAGAATTGGGATGAAATACCTGATAGCCTGTAGTAATACCGGCTGTCACACTCGGACCAGAATACAGCTGGTATTAATCTAGACAGACTCCTAGGTCGAAAAAGTGCCCTCCATCTAGTACACTACAATGCTGAAAGAGATCTAAATATGTTTATTTGTCAGTGATTTGATTCAATTGAATTTATGGATGATAATAACCCCTGGAAATGAGGTGCTACCAATCTATTTCTAATTTGTTTGTGTAACATCATGATTGTAAGCTGTTATTTTAAAAAAAAGTCCCGCTGCGTTTCTTGCTGGTTCTTCCCAGGACAGAAGTTTTTTCCGAACCAGTGGTAATCAAACAAAAGAGTGACTTTCAATAAGTATTATTTATAATCTATATTGAATAAAAAAGTTTATGTTTCTGTAATAAAGGCTTAAGAGAAACCATCACTGCTTATGGTGGCCGCAAAAGGTAACTGGAATGTAAAAGGAAATTCTTAAGTAAATCGCCGCCTCCTGCAAATAATAGGCTATTAACATGTAATTTGTCTACTGGTGAACTATCCAACTTCTCCACATTTTTGGAGGAATTGGATTCTGTGCCCTTATAGACATTTATATTTCACCTCGGTTAAGAATAAAAATGCTGATGCGTTGTCACTCCCGAGGACTAGGTTGGGATCTTAGTATCCAGTGAAAAGGTTTTCCAAATCTCTATACTCAATAAAGCTGCCATTTCACGCTGGTATTTCGTGCGACATCACGTCACAACCCATTCGTGCTTTAATCATAATATAGCTGCAGCGTGGCTCTATCATATACTCGCATACCTATGTGGTATATTGGGTGATTATTATTTCCAGTTATATATTTTTGGACACTGCAAGAGTATTGTGGATAATTCAGTTGTTTCACATTTTTGTCTCTACTTCCTGTTGCTTTGAGAATACAATTACGCGCTTACGACCACTAAATCAAAGAGGCAGTCATTTGTATATGCAATACATATGACCAGAGTCAACTCTTGCGAGTGAGTTTGTATGAGAAGATGCAATGGAATCTCTCAAGCTACGACCATACGTTAAAAATTTATCGACACTAAAAATATGACAAAAACAAAATGTTCTAGGTCTAATAAAACTTACTTAGTTGGAATAGTATCAGGAACAGCTCACTGGCAGTCTCTCTAGTCAAGAAAGCAAGGCTGTACACGAATCCGATGATGGAGAATACGATCTCAAAGTACAGGTATATTTTCATCAGCAAGACGTGTTTCTGAAAATAAATAATGATACAAGTTAGTAAAATAGAAAACAATGCGACGATGTTTTTGAACGAAATTTAAACAAACAAAATTATGTAATATTTTCTAATTGTTACAATAAAACGGATCAGTAATCTAAAGTAACAGTGGGTCCGCCATACAACCCGATAAACCTACAACACTACAAAGTGCAGTGTATCGAAATATATTGCGTGTAATTTTAGCCGATTTCAAAAAATGTAAGTGATTAACTATTCGACTGTATGTTTTTTGTACGTATTTTACGTGATTGTGAACCAACTTTGGTGATTCTCTTTTAATGAATAGGTAACAATCCCTTCCTATATGTTTCTTTTAATAGAGAGTCTAATGAGCTCACAGCCCACCTGATGGTAAGTATATAGATGCTGTGGCCCATAGGGAAGGTAATAGGTATTTATTTTATTTTATTTATTATTACGTCTTCTCGTAGATTGCTTTGATGAATTAAAAACAATTTAATTAGGGTCTTAAATGTGAGAAAAATTGCTATATACATACCATCAGACCCTTGATTTAAGGAGTAGTTTAGAAGCTTATCCCCACTAACGAAGGTTCAATACACGTGAAACCAATTTATATATCAGAGGGCGAAAAATATGAACTACATTAGAAGATCTATCATATTGAACAAAACAAATTTTATGGGTTTTATCGCTATAAATTTTTTCTATCTTAGAGTATACATAAGTTTAAGGAAGTAAGTTCTACTTACGTTATTCCCATAATCAAGTAGGCTTGGAAAGATAACAATAATTTTACTGTTATATACTTTAAAGCGTCGTCCTAATATAATGCGAATGCGCAATCATCGCAAGTTCATGCGAATTTTAATCGTACGAACACGCGATCAAACATACTGATCTCAAATAGGTGTCCTAATTGACATTCGCGCGATGGGTTCGTGCGACTTAATTGT